CTTTAGTTAGCTAGGGCACACATTTTGTTTGATCCACCATCATGCCCCAAGTTGAACAATAAAATGCAGCCAAGTTAGCTAATCAATGAATATTTGCTGTAATATTCTTATCAGTGCTATAAGTGTAACTACCAGTTTGGGTGCCAGTTTTGATTTCATTACTTTAAATCACACAATCAATCTTTTTTTGGCCACATCTTTTTTCATACATAAGGTGTTTTTGATTAAATTCATTAATAACAGGACTGTCAATTGATGAAATGGAATGTTCCATAGCTGTCTAATATGTCAGTTATTTTGTAAATATTTGTATGTACTTGTTTACCACTTTCAACTTATAGTGACATCTCCGACAGTGACATGCAGAATTCAAACAATTGACAAAAACCCCCCTATTGTAAAGTAATGGAACATTCCAAACTTTCAATTGCTCTGTTGTCAAGAGTTCTTTCAGTGACCTCTCCAAACAATAAGCTAATACACAGTGCAGTACTAATGGGAGCCACGTGGCGTATCATCCCGAGAACTTAATATGGAACAAAAAGTTACTTTTATACCATGCTTTAGGGAGAAATTAAATATCATATATGAAATAAAAATCATTTTAATGGTCTGAAAAAAAATTGAAAGGGCAGAGCACAGATAGCCTATTGTGTAGCTTTGTGCTTAATTACAAACAAACAAATGTACATCTTTTAAGAAAGATATATAAGTAAAGGGTTAATACAGAGCTCACATAAGTAGTTTTAGGGGACAATTCTATAGCTCATTGTGAAATGTACTCTATAGTGGAAGTTATGAGAAAAATCTCTGAATTAAATAGCAGATGTTACACAAAAAGTGAAAGGAAACTAAGGATATCAACGTATCTCAATTTATTTTGTTGTGAAATCGTATATCCTGAAGAAAAAACACAAGTCAAACCAAACACAGGTATCGAAACCCGGATTCTAGCATTGTAAGTCCGCAGACATACCGCTGTGCCACTGGGGGCAAGTACATTTGTTCAAGCACTTTAAAACTAATCATTAAGTCACTTTTTTCACATGCTACAGAAAAACTACTTACATTGATACGATAGGTATACATAAATCATGTCTGTTTTATTTCTTGTAAACAGGAGAGTTAGCAGGATATCTTCTCTATCATAATTTTACAATAAATCTTCAGATACATCAAACCATATTAACAACATTCCTCAAATCATATTTTAAATATCAATGTTAATTATTGTATCCTTATACTAGTTGTAAAAATATTCTTTCAAAAGAAATTAATTAATACTGGAAAAGTCCAGAGATAGAAAGGTGAGGCAAAAATACAGTATTGGTACAATATCAAACTTTATTCACACAAATAAAAAATGTGTTCATTGTTTCACTGAAGAAATTACACAAGCAAACTTTTATGAATCTTAGTATTTTAGAATTTCTGAATTATGAATCCTGCAATAAAACAATTTTATATTCAGAAAAGCCAACAGTTCACTTACTTGAAGGATGACGTAAAGGTTTTTGGATTACTGAGCTTCCAATAACCTTGTTTTCTTTCTTAGGTAACACAGGTGTCCAACTTCCATTTTCATGAAACTGAATTTCACAGCACTCGGTGGGAGCTTTACTAAGGATTTCAGTGAAGAGCCTGAGTATGGAACAATAAGCTTTGGTTGCAATTTACATAATAACTACAATCACATAAATTATATTTTATGTTAATAAAACGTTGAGAGGTTTAAAAGAATGATAAGGCCCATGGACCACATAATATTTTCACAAGGGTGAGTTACTTACTAATATTTTTTTTTATAAGTCCTTAAGCAGTGGGCAGATGTTAGAAAACTGAAATTTTCAAGGTGGTATCCAGGTATTTATAGGCCTGTTTGTCTTACATCAGTGGTGGGAAAATGTACTGTAAGTCTGATAAAAAATGCTTTGGAAATTCATTAATCAAAGTTTAAAATTTTGTTGGATAATCAACATAGTTTCACTGGGGGGAAAACCTTTCCTTACTAATCTTTCAAAATTCTTTGTAAAGATTATGTAGATGAGAATGAAGGTGTGGATTTGATATATCTGAATTTTCAGAAAGCATTTGACAAGGTGCCACGTAAAAGGTTTGTTAAACAAATCTCTGTATGTGTAGAAGATAAGTTGGTTCTTTGGATCAAAAAAATGGCTAAATGGAAGAAAGCAGAAGATAGTTATAAATAAAGGTTAAATCAAACAGTATTATGTCATAAGTAGCTCAAGTTTCCAGTATTAGGACCTTTGCTTTATTTTGATTTACATCAATGACACAAAGAATAGTCAAAAAATTACTCAAACTTGCTGAGAATACTAAGGTCTTGGGTATTGCTAGCTGTGAGAAGGACAACACTAGTAGTTAATGGTCTACTAGCATGTCAACAAATAGCTGGATTGCATACATAAACAGACAGCATACAATGAACAGCTCACCCACAATTTAACTCAAGTTACTTGCTTGCCCAGTATAAGTAACTTATATATAACTAGATATAGTTTAAAATATACGTATATATATATATTTTGTTTTTCAGTAGTATTTTCACTGGTTATCCACCCATCACAACTGTTACCTGGTTCTAAATTTACAACTCAGTTCTTAAAAAAAAAATTATGCAAAGTTTAAGTCGAAGTAATGTAAACAGAGTTGGAGACAAACTTATTATTTTTAAGAGGAAACAGTAAGCAAAAATCAGAAACAAGCATAAAAAGTCACGACACAGAGAGTGAAAATGAAAGTGAAAGCAATCGTAGTGATAGACTCAAATTAAATTCTAGTGGCAGGCCAGCAACATTGATTAGTAAGTCACTGATATTTAACAGTGTACAAAAATCCTCGAGTACTTTATAAATCAAGTTATTCAACCATTCATTATACTCTCAAAATTTGCTTATACCATATTAACTTTCACCTCTTCCATTGACAATAATAAACATAGGAGACAAAGAATCAAGTAAACAAAAAGTTTTGATTAATCCATATTAAATTTTTCTCTTATTAAATGATTATCGGTCAATTCACCACCTGCAGACAGTTCGCAGTTATCATGGTTTTGCAGCACGGCACGATCGACATTCTAGGACAGAAATGAGGCTTATCATTTACAGGAAACTTTCAAACTTGATGACTGTGTGATTTATAATAGTAAATATTGTAATATGTCAATAATAATATGACCTTCCAAAAGTTTCTACATTTTTGTATGACTCGTTCAACTTGTTTCAACTGTAGCTAGCTGCTGCTCGTCATCATTCAAGGTATTAGGATGCAGTGATCATTGCCATAGACGTGTTCTTTCACTTTGCTACACTAATCTTAATTATCAAAGTTTTGTCGTTGAAATAATTGAGGTAAGCTCTGCCCATTGATTGTGTTAACTTTTCTGATAGTGCAGGCACACTCAGGAATCTTGTAATTTCTCAATGTGTGTTATAATGACAGGTGGCTGTAGATGCCGTAACATCCGTATGTAAACGTATATACATACAACCTAAGTGTCATCATTATGTATCAATATTGCCTGTGCAGCATGGGTATTGTGTGACGAAAGTCAGCCAGGGTGTGCTATTAAAAGATTACTTTGTTTTGTTACCAGTTACCAATGTCAATAAGGTAATAGTATCCAATCGAATAAACAGTTGGAAGCTTTATAATTAATTTCATGACCACTAAATTGGTGCTCATTACTAATTGGTGAAAAGTTAAAAAATTGAGAGATATTTGTTTGAATTTGTTTCAGTACCTCATGCAGAATAGTGAGAATACGTAGAGTAGCCTATACCTTTCAGGGCTATGCTACAGAATACACGATGGTTTCGGGGTTAACATCTTTTTAATATTTCATATATAATTATATCATTTACTGTTTTCATTTACTTTTCCATCCAAAAATTCATACCTTTTTATTATCGGCAGTTTTAGTTATACTTTTGTTAGAAAAAGGTTTTGTCATCACCAGGTACCTTTTGTAATAGAATACAACAAATTGGATACTACTGTACATCCCTATGTGAGTTACGTCTTTTGTAATAGCATACAACAAATTGGATACTACTGTACATCCCTATGTGAGTTATTTCTTTTGTAATAGCATACAACAAATTGGATACTACTGTACATCCTATGTGAGTTATGTCTTTTGTAATAGAATACAACAAATTGGATACTACTGTACACCCTATGTGAGTTATGTCCTTTGTAATAGAATATAACAAATTGGATACTACTGTACACCCTATGTGAGTTATGTCTTTTGTAATAGCATACAACAAATTGGATACTACTGTACATCCTATGTGAGTTATTTCTTTTGTAATAGAATACAACAAATTGGATACTACTGTACATCCTATGTGAGTTATGTCTTTTGTAACAGAATACAACAAATTGGATACTACTGTACACCCTATGTGAGTTATGTCCTTTGTAATAGAATATAATAAATTGGATACTACTGTACATCCTATGTGAGTTATTTCTTTTGTAATAGCATACAACAAATTGGATACTACTGTACATCCCTATGTGAGTTATGTCCTTTGTAATAGAATACAACAAATTGGATACTACTGTACACCCTATGTGAGTTATGTCTTTTGTAATAGCATACAACAAATTGGATACTACTGTACACCCTATGTGAGTTATGTCCTTTGTAATAGAATACAACAAATTGGATATTACTATACATCCCTATGTGAGTTATGTCCTTTGCAATAGCATACAACAAATTGGATACTACTGTACACCCTATGTGAGTTATGTCTTTTGTAATAGGATACAACAAATTGGATACTACTGTACATCCCTATGTGAGTTATGTCCTTTGTAATAGAATACAATAAATTGGATACTACTGTACATCGCTATGTGAGTTATGTCTTTTGGTTTCAGTGGGGTTTGATATATCTGTGGACAATTATTCGGTTTTATAATCAGTAAAATCTAGTTATTGTAATTTCTTATGGGAATTATTTTCTATGGCTGTTGAAAATAGTTTTTAAAACCATGATTTCATGTCACTTGGTATTTCTGTAAGGTGCACAGATTTATAACAGGTCAAAACAGGCAGATCCACAAGAGTCATACGTCTGGATATTCTAACACTTTGTTAAAACACAGCTTAAACAGTACTTACAAGTTATTTAAATAACACTTAGCTAAGAGAGAGATTAACTGCATTTCACTAATGAGTATTTTAACAATACACTGCTAAGAGAAACCTTACTAGTTCTTAGTTAGAAGATACTTAAACATTACTTTGGTAAGAGATAGAGTAACATTGCAAAAAGCTAAACTATTCAAACAGAATCATAATCTCCATGAAATTATTTTCAACTGAGTAGTCAAACATACTAAGATGATTTTTTTAACAATCTTTTTTGGATATTCAAAAATATTTATTGTACCTAACAGCCAACTCTGTGGATATTATGCAAATGCTCAGTTTTGTTCTTGACCTCATTGACCTGAAATTTGTGTCATTTCATTTCTTTTCCATGTATTTTAATGAGATACTACTTGAATACTAAGTCTGATGTTACCTTCTGTTCACTGATCTTGTCAATCCTTCTTCATAAGCAAAGTTTAAAAACCCCAAATAATTTCACTTCTATCACACATAAAATCTAGCTAATAACTTTAAAATGTTATGATTAAAAAAACAGTAACACACAAAAAAAGTTAATTGTATGTCATTCAAGAAAACAAGGAATACTGACTATATATTTTCCTCGACAGAAAATTTAAACCTACCCATCAATCACCAGATTTGAGAAAATGGCAGGTTTATCACATACTGGACATATCCATGTGGGCTTCTTTTCATTCATTTGAAGGTACAAAGATGCATCAAAACACTGCACATGGACACACGTAGTGACTCTACATGGAATCTGCATTCTCATTTTACCTAACTGCAATAGAATGATGATAGCTTAAAAAACATAACATTTGTAACTTTCAGAAGGTCAATGAAAGCATAACAGTCAAAACAATGATAAAAACTAAGTCTTACTTACCGGACACATTAAAGATCCTCTTAAACTGGTAGTAGCAATTTCTGAATCAGGATCATGCTGCAACTTCTCTTTGACTGAAAGGTTTGCATGAAACAATAATTACATATTCAAACAAAGCTAGATAAAAATATGATAACTTGGTTAAATTGGTAAATTAACCCACAAATCTAGCTGATAATTAGTACAGATTGAAAATACACAATGTACACAAATAATTTGACAGTTCTTAGAGCTCTGATAATGCTAATTTATGAGATACCTAGTAGTAAACACAACTAGAATAAAGATATGCAATTATAGAACTAAGTACATTTACTTTTAATGATGTGACAAACTTTTATTCATTACAGAAATCCATGAAGTAACATCAAAACATAATAAATGCTTGCTTTCCATACTGATTTTGTATTATTAACATAATAATATAAAAGTTATGAGCTTAAGATTTGGTTAAGTAATAACCGAGTCTTCACAGATTCTAAACGGCAACAAACTCAAAACTTAATATTAAAATTAGTAAGGCAGGATTGAAATAAATGCAAAAGTAGATAACTTTATAAACATTAAAATGATTCGGCATTACAAATAATGTGACAGAGTTCAAACACATACTCATTGCTCTAGTATGGTCAGGATTTTTTATTCCTGAACTTCTAAGTCGAGAAAGTAATGTTGAGGAGCTTAGTTTTCTTACGAGGTATACAGCTACTGAATATCCCTAGAAAACACATATACACAAGTTGTATGTTCTAGAAATATGGCCAAAAATAAAAATCAGTTAGCATATTTTAGATGTAAATATATGTACTTAATATCTAAAAAGAATAAACAACATGGGCAGAACAGCTCATTACAGACGTATCTAATCAAACAGCCCTGGCAGAACATACCACTTTTTAGAATATACATAGTTATACAGAATTTTAGTAAAAGAGCATTTTATAAACCTATACATGTATCTAAACAAATGAATATGACTTAAGCAGAATAATACTTTCTAGACCTACACAAATTTCTCTGTAATTGAACAAGTATATGACACGTGCAGAACTCAACTCCTCAAACTCCACTAAATCTCAATCATTTTCAGGTTGTCAGAAAAAACCAGCATTAGACTCTCGAGCTAGTTGTGAGAAAAACTAAGCATTAGGCTCTCGATTAGGTTGTGAGAAAAACCAAGCATTAGGCTCTCGATTTGGTTGTGAGAAAAACCAAGCATTAGGCTCTCGATTTGGTTGTGAGAAAAACCAAACATTGGCTCTTAAGCTAGTTATGAGAAATTTGAGTATTAGGCTCTCGAGCTAGTTGCCATGAACACTCAGAAATGGACCAAACTATTTGTCACTTCACCTAGTAAGATACTGCAAAATATACAACTAAAATTCTACTTAAATGCCACAGAAGAACATCTCAGAACACATACTAACAAAAAGAACATTTCAAATATTTACATAAGTACTACACTCTATAATTAAAAACTAAGACTTTTTGTATGAAAAGTTATTTTACTTCCATTACACATTAAAACCTATCATTTAGGAGGTTATTAACGTACCCGACCATATTCTGATGCCCATGACACACTAATATGATTGGCAACAGTTGGACATAGCCTACACAATCCTGTAATATTTACTGGTCGACTAGGTCGTTTGGGTTCCACTCCAGGTTTGTTGGTAGGAATAGGATTCTGTAAAAACAACATTTGTAACTTATTACAATAGAAATGAAAATATTCACTTTGCATGAACCTCTTACATGATTCAGGAACAGCATATTGAACAATTATAATGCAATCCAGAATAATGTTAACTGTCCATAATATTCTCACAAATATAGAAAAAATTAAAATCATATAGTGAAAATTTTAATAGCAAGGTGCCCTTAATATCAAAAATAAGCCATGCAAAGCTGGATTCCACATTGACCATACTAACTTTCTGAATTTTAAGGCCCACCATTTTGTTTGGTGTATGCAGTACATGGATGTTCATGAGTTGCACATTGCCATGACATGGAGCATTGTCAACAGGAGGTCTCAGGGGTAGATTAGCTGTGCCCTTTTTTTCTTTATTATTGGTCACAAAGTTTCGAAGTACTTCTCTTTAGAGTTTGAACTGCTAAACATTCCCATTTATTTTCTGTGTTTATTTTAGTGTTAATGACTGAAGTAGAAATCCACTGACAATAAAGCAACAAATCACCGCTTGTCGTTAAACTGTTTACGTGACACGTAATATGATTCTCTCGAGAGCAGCAAAGCACACACACAGAAATTTGAACCCTGCTCTAAGAATACGACATGAAATTTATTAACTTGTGTATCCTATATCATTTATAATGAGAATTCCCCAGAGTAATAAGATTGGACTTTGAATCTGTGAAAATGTTTATTACAGTATACGGTTCAGAGTCAATCCAATAAACATCTCAAGTGTTTGAATATTGGTCTTTCTTCTGGGATATTTGGAATTTAGCGGTATACCATACAGGCATACAATGATAACAGCCCGCTTTACTGAGTGCTCATATAGAGAACAAGACCAAAGACACTGCCCTTAATCCATTATATCAAGGTGCCCATTACTGCAAAACTTATTTTGGTTACAAACAGTAGAAAAAAGAAAGAGATTGAAAAATCCTGCCCTTAATGGTGTGGTGCCCGTTAATCAAGGTTCTAGTGTACTAACTTATGTCAAACATTAAAGGTCAAGAGAAATTAAAAGCTTGGCACAGTTTACAAGTCTAGCTGAACATTAACTATATATGTACATTACTTGAGTAAAGGTCAAGAGAAATTAAAAGCTTGGCACAGTTTACAAGTCTAGCTGAACATTAACTATATATGTACATTACTTGAGTAAATGTCAAGAGAAATTAAAAGCTTGGCACAGTTTACAAGTCTAGCTGAATATTAACTATATATGTACATTACTTGAGTAAATGTCAAGAGAAATTAAAAGCTTGGCACAGTTTACAAGTCTAGCTGAACATTTACTATATATGTACATTACTTGAGTCAATGAGTATATACGTAGCTGAAGTTCTAACCTCATTTACTTAAGTAATGTACATATATAGTTAACGTAGGTTACAACTTTAGCAAGACTTGTAAATTGTGCCATCAGGTCAAATCCCTCCCATGCCAAACTGGCACTTAGGAACTCCAGCTTTATTGTCACAAGAATGGTGACACAATCAGCCTATACAGGATGCCAGTCCATTGTTTGTTAACCTCCCAGCTATTAGCTGGTACCTATCATATCATATAGCTGAGTAGCCTAAAACATTTCTTTCAATAGCATGTTGTGAGCAAGCCTCAAACTTTCAACCATCCTATTATGAACCCAAACTGAGAAGCCACAATGCCTCCCTCCATATATCACTGGAACAATTCTATGATACCTACACATTATTAAGTTCCTTGCAGTTGTAATAAGGAGTACTTTTAAAATCCTACTAGAACAAAAAAGTGATAAACATTAACTACAACACATCAATGCAGAAAGAAAGTATTATGGACCTTGGACTAACCTTACTATAATGGACATAGCATACATATATGTATATGACCTAAAGAATAATTACAATCTGGCACCATCTATTCAATGTATATACAATGTGGCGCCATCTATTAAATGGCACCACAAACAAATATCCATAAAACATTTCACACTTTGGGTATTCTAGATTCAGACAATTAGAAAAATAACTACTGTATGTGCAACAACCATTTCTTTATCACAGAACACAATTTTAAATAAAAGTACTCTACTCACAATAAGAACACGACTTTTACTAAGATTGTATGCGAGGGTTTGATTATATCTTTATTAACGTAATTTGTAAATACAGTACTCAAAAATTGGAGTACTTAAAAAAAAACTTATTTTTTCAAAGAAGGGTACCACTTTTAATATATAAAAACATTAACAGTTTATATCAGCACATAATGAACACTTTTCCAATGCAGTACTTCCCAGAAAAATCCTTTTTAGAAAATGTTTACTTTTTCTAAATTTTATCAATGAGATATGAATACTACAATTAGTAATAACTAGTACAAACATCCATCCTTAGGGCAGAGTTTCTGCAAGTACAGACAATTAAGACTTACAACTGCCTTGTTTCACAAATTTTAGAATTCACAACTGATCTATCAGTGTTTTCCAATCATTACAAGTTTTTGCTTAATGATAGTACATATTCTTTTTTGAGACTGGTATTTAAAATTAGCTATATTAGTTACTAAGTTATTATTTTCAGATCTGATTTGTGTATATAGCTTGCTTTAATTTGAAGCTATTCAGTGATATAGAAAGGAGTTAAAACTAGTGGGCTACTTGGCTAGACATGCAAATTTTACAACGAATGATTGAAAATATAAGGAACTCTTAAAAGCAGCTCCCGTGCTGCGAAAGGCAACTCAAACTCAATCCAAGGGGCATGCCCCCCCCAAAATTAATATAATATACAGTTGCTATGTAAGTCAACTAAATAAAAGTGTGGGTGCTATAGCATTCTTGGTTATGATATCTTTGCTATTGATAACTTGTTCCTTAACTGTTAATTGTTTTTACCTGGATATGTAAAAACTCAGAATTTTATCACAAAGTATAAAGTTTATAGCAGCTCAATATGTGAAAATTTCGGCACAGATTTTGTATTTGTAGCTTATAAACTCTTCATGCAAAGCATTCTATCAGCAGACAGGAGCTAGACAGATATATGACATGGAACAACGTTCAAAGAGAAGGTGACAGGAAAAATACTGCTAAACAATGACCTGAACCACCAACAAAGTATTGTTACGACAGCGGAAGTCACGTGATGCTGGTAACACACGATCAATTTCACGGATGACCGTGAATTATCGAGTAAGACCGAGTTTGTTTGAGACGCCCTCTTTTTTGAGTATATAAGCCTGGCAGAGAAAGCCTGTGAGAATGAATTACGGGAGTTCCAGGTAATTTACGATTCTGTTTTGAACTAGTGTGTGTTTTCAAGATTGTGAATCACTGTGATTTATAGCGTGTATTATAAAAGTTGTTAAGTTTAAAGTGACGAGAAAGGTACTGACTGTGGAATTACTGTGTAATAAAAGTTTGTATTGAGAAAGAATAAACTGGTTTAACCTAGAAATTAACAAACAAGCAGATACGTTAACAGTATGTTACTGTGTATGCTTCAGTCTCTTCTCTCTTTAAATAATTCCTTCGTTGTACATGTTTTTTCTTTTCTCTTCAGAAGTTTAAGAAGTTATTTTCACCTTTTTTTCCTTAAATGCTCATTTAATACTTAACGTGACTGCATATAAACCTTAGTTCCACCTAAATCTATTCCAACTGATTCATGTAGCTGCATAAATCTGATTACACAGTAATACTTGAATCTGGCATAAATATACTGTTAAGAATCTAATTAAAGCAGTTATAAGTTAGTAGTTCACAATCACATAATCATATCTGGTACCTTTTAATGCTTCCAAACATGATGATATTTGTTACATCTTTAATGCTGAGTACAACTAAGCATGATCATATCGAGTATATTCCTCATGTTCAACACCACTATTCATTGTAGCACAGTGATGTACCATATGTTTTCCATCCATTTAATTAAAAGGTAAATATTTTTTAATGATGTTGTTTTTCATAATTCTCTTCTCAGGCACGATAAGGCACTCCAGTGAGTTACTATGTTCAGAGTAACAGAGTTCTTGGTAAAGGACAAAGCTTATTGGTCTGATTCTCTTTAGCAGGCTGAGATAATCAGGTAATAGTTGCAGCAAATCATGCCCTTAATTTTCACACTTTGTGCTGGTTAAGTACCATAACTTACACACAACAAGGGCTTGCAATGAAATAAAGACTAATTTGATATTAAACTCATGTTTGTGTTACATATCTCAGAATTTTGTGTATTTTTAGTTTAATCTAATATCTGCTCAAAAGCTCCTAAAGTTCTATATTTCTATGTTACAGGTCAGTCTTTTTTTATTTTACTTTATCTTATAAAAATTCACCTTCTGTGAACTGAGTTTTACTTTATTTACTCTTGCTTTTATGTAGAAAGCACCTTAAGGTTCCTTAACATACTTACCACCACTGACATTATAGCTATTTTTCGATCTCCGGGGTTTCCACTCTTTGCCCATCTAAGCAATTAAAACACTTGCTCCAGTCTTTATATACCCCACCTGAATGTTCTTAGCAAATTCTAATTTGCAAATTTCTCCATCAACTTCAATGCACCCTCTATCTAGGTACTGTATATAAGCACCTCATTCAGATAACATAATCACTTTTTTCTTGAAAAAGCATTTGGCACAAACAGAAGTATTGTGATTATTCACATACTTTACGTTGCGACTTTGGATGTAGTTGGCATGACTACGGTTATATTTTTGCTTATACTTACAAATTAGTTAATTAAAAAATAAAAAAATGATAGGTATGAATTCCCAAATGAATGTTTCTAATATGGAGGCCAACCAGACCTCTTATCTTCCACCTCTGCTATCTGATGTTTGTCAATGGCCAGGGGAGGGGTTACTCTCAGTCAAGGCTTTCCATGATATGATCCATTGTGAGATGGAGACACACATATGGGAACCAAGCGTGTCTTTCCAGAGGGTTCTGTGGCAGTTTTTGCAAATGACTCTGATTCAGTTAGAGAGAATTTAGACTTGCTTTTTCCAGCTCCTTCTTTTACTAGGTTGGCCTCAACAGAGGATCCTTTTGATCAGCCACCTCCAGCTCCTTTTGTTCAGTTGGTTACTCAGGTTTGTGAGGTTTTGGGGGTGTCTGCTATTGCATTTGACTCTACTCCTTCCTTGTTGGTGGAAAGGATGACTAGTGACTACTTCATTTTTTCTCCTTCTCCTAATATTGCTGTTCATGCTGACAGATTAACTGTTCATTTACGTGATGGGATAGCTATAACTTGTCCCCAACATTTACCCAAACAGTATGCTTTGGCTTTTCACCACCAGGAGAAGGTATATTTAGATTCGCAATGGGTAGAACCCCTTTCAGACCTGTGGGTTTCTAGATTGGAACCTGTGATCACTTTGAACAGATTAAAGTTTTCTCAGATTCGTCTTACTCTCACGACTGTCCTGAGGTATTTACCTTCGATCCAACTTTTGTTGGAAGCCTATCAACGTTCCACTCAGCAATTTGAGGATGAGTTGGGGACTTTGCTGATGTCTACTTCAGTTCTTTCTCTGGTTTCTTGGTTGTTCCTTTACCGTCTTCTGTCCTCAGGGAAGTTCCTTTTTCCATCCCATGTGGTTTGTCTGGGTTCCAGAGATGTTAGAATCACAAATTGATTCAGCTTGTTTAGGTTCTTCTTTATCATCATTAGCTTCTACCTTTCTGGTGCTAATTTAAAGGTGTTGGCTTGTAGTGTTTCCCAACCTCCTCCACCTTTTGTTCCCATAATAGAGTCCATCCATATTCTCGAGGATCTTAGTCTTGGATGGACTGTCAACAACGGCATTGGTGACTATCCCATGGGCAAGAAAGCATGTTTACATCCCTTTCTGGACATCTGGAGCTCTTTCACCAGGGATGGATTCAGGGTGGGTTGTTCAATTTACCTCAACTCCACCATTATCTGCTATACCTGTTACCTTTTCACCTCCAAAAGATCCATGACAAGTGAAGCTTCATTTCCAGACCATAATAGAATTGTTAATCAAAAAGGCAGTAGAGAGGGTTGATACCCTTCTTTTGGGATTTTATTCCTGTATATTTGTTGTACTCAAGAAGACAGGAGATTGGTGTCCAATCATCGATATGTGCTTGACTCAACCAATTTTTAGATCCTCCTCACTTTACTATGGAATCTTTTCTCAACCTATGATGGTACTTTGCCCCAGGGCCCTAGATGACCAAGTTCAATGTTACTGATGCTTATCTCCATATCCTCATAGCAGAATCTTCATGGAGGTTTCTCAGATTTGTGCACAAGGTTCAGGTCCTGGAACTCAGGGCTCTACCTTTTTGTCTTGCATCAGCACCTTATGTCATCTGCATTCTTTGGGTCTGTGCACAAATCATTATATGAACAACTGGCACCTTCTGGTAGCATCCAGTCGATTAGCAGAACAACGCTCTCAGATTCTCCTTTCAGAAGCCACAAAAGCGGGATCTCTTATCAGACTGGAGAAATTTATTCTGTCACATATGCAATATCTCTTCCAACTGAGTGTGTTTTTCAACACTCACTACAGTCGAGCTTAACCATCCCATATCAGGTTACAAGCCATGGAAAGAGACATCAGGCTTTTACTTCTGTCTCCTTCTCCTACTGCGCGGATGGTTCTCTTTTTTGGGGGATATTGGAATCCCTCGATTCTCTCATTTCTTTGGGATAAGCAAATATGAGGTCTCTTCAGTGGTCACTGCTCGACCGATGGACCATGAATTCCGACCCTTTGGATCATCCTGTCTCATTACTCAGGAGCAACATCATCGATTGCGAATGGTGGTTGGATTGGAACAACACTACAATTGGAGTACCCATTCTGTTCCTTTGGTTGAGTATGACATACACGATCCCGTTATTCCAAGCCTGGGGTGTTGCCTTTTGGAGAACCTCCTGTTGACAGAGAACCTAACTTCTCTGCTCTGATGGTTATCTAAGATACTGTTATGATCATATTTAGTATATTTATAATGTCCATTATTACTACACATGATAATATCTGGTATATTCCTATGTTCAATACTATTAAACATGATATTCTAATATTAAAAGGTTAAAATTCAAGAAACTTGTGAATGTATTCAAAATATTAAAATCCACAAATGAACAACATTTTATAATATACAATTAAAATCTTTACTTAAACCAATCAACAGTTGTAAATGTCACTCTACAGCTTTCGTACTTAACTGTTTTAACACTCCTGAAGATGGCGTAAAACCATGTTGAAACATACAGAGTGACTTTTACAATCACTGATTTTAAGTTAAGATTTTAATTCTATATTATAAAACATTGTTCATTTTGTGGATTTTAATATGATATTCTAATTTACAAAAACAGTCACCAATAAATTGAAGTGTGTGTGTTGAAGACAGTATCATAAGCTTGCAAGCAAAGTAAAAATAAATGTTTCAAGAACTTTTTAAATATGTTTACCCAACTAGTTTCTAGTACAGTTACCTACAGCTTGCATCTCAATTAAACATGTTTAAAATAAAATTTTCACATTTTGCACAGAAAAACTTAGCATTAACACAAGTATCAACTCAGTTTTATATCTCCAAATTAGAACAGCTTATCTGGAAAGTGTTTATTAATTTTTCTTAAAAATTACTAAAGACTGTTTTTCAAATGGCTAAAAAGTGTTAATACTTTACCGGGAGAGGGCACATTTTACAGTTGACCCTAACACATATGCTAGGAGGGAAGTTGTCCTCCTGTTCACAGCTGGTCTCAAGAAGACAAAACCGTAACTGGACTTGAACTCCATAATCTTTGCTTCCTCTATAATTGAACATATCTTAACTTTTGTTCAAACAATAAATAAAGTTTTATTTACACCAATCTTTAAACAAACTGTAATTGGTGAGTAAAATTTCATACACTCTTTAACAAGAGCAAAAAAAGCTATAAACTAAAACTAGAAATATCATGAAAAAAAGAAAGAATGGTGGTTGGGGCACTTAAAAACTATAAATGAAAGTAATAACTTGTCTAGGATAAAAAAAATCATGACAGAAAACACAAACAAATAAAAACTTTAGGCATTAAAAATAACAATAAATAATAAAAAATACACCAGTAACCAAAAAAAGAAACAAAAACAACTTATGGAGAATCTTGGTCTCATTCATTTGGGCAGTGAATTAATAGATTTTATAAAGACAGTAACATTTGAGATTTATGGTTATTAACTGTTGCCACCAACTAGTAAGTCTATTTACATTTTGTCAATATTAACTCCAAATAAATTCAGTTATTTCTACACTGTTACTAACCTTAAATTGTTTTAAGTGATTTAATTACTTCACAAAAATTAATACTGATATCTTATAATTAACAGCAATAAACTTTTCTGTGCTTTAAAATAGAAATAAATTATGTGAGCTCAAGTATGTATAATGTTTTTCACAAAATTACACAAGTAAGCACTTTGTTAATGAAGTATAAAAAGCAGTAATAATACAGGAATGCAATAGTTTTATTGTTTTGAAATGTTCAGATCTTCTACAGTAATTCCTGCACGCCATATGTACTTTTACACAAGTGAATCATTTTCACTGAAATTGGGTTACATTTTGTTATGCTCAAAATGCTGACAACCACTGGCTAAAGATTTCTCTTGACCAACTGCAACATGACTCTTATCGATCGTTCTAGAACCACGAGAAACACACACCACTAGTATATAATCAGTTAGCAGACCACATGACAAGTCATTTCTGGATAGTATTTGGTTGTGTATGCTCTTTGACAACAAAATGTTGTGTAAATGACCTAAACATATTGTTATGTATCTGCTCGTTTGTTAATTTCCGGTATAAATTCTTTCTGGGGAACTTCAGCGATACAAGACCTTTCTTAATTAAAACTAGTTTATTCTTTCTTG